TCCTAAACTATCTTGTTGTAGTAAAAATTCTGTTCCATGCAGAAAGGAGAAAAAAAATAATTGTACTCCAACTATAATATTTTTAGTATTTGCTATGTGCTTTGACCATTTTACAAAAACAAAACAAAAAAAAACCCTCTATCTATTTCTATGAAAGGAAGCTCCCTAGAGACATAGACATAATTATTCCTACATAGGAATTCTAATTGACAGTTTTAATGTTAGAGCAAAGAGATCTGGTGTTGGTTTCCCCAGCAGTGAATAAGACACAAATCATTTCCAAATGACTCACCAATCTATTTGAAAGTAACTCTGGAGTTTTGATCCAGCACAACTATCATACTCTGATTGTCCCTGACAGATCTCTAGCTATTGGTGCTATATAGTGGGAAATGTTTCACTCCATTAAATCTATATGTGATTTTTATTTGCTATTTTTTTGTTTTGTTTGTTGCTCAATTGTGTAAATTAGTCGTTATTATTAGTCTGTATTATATTGCACCTCAGTAATAGTTAAAAGATTAAAAAACAAACCTCCTCCTCATATGCCAAGATTTATTGTCTTGCCAGTTCCAATGGCCTCAGATTGGTACTTACGCTGAACACACTCTCCTTCTCATTTGAAGGTCATCTCTGATGACAGATGGAAGTAGTAAAAAAAATGTCATTCCATAACCAATTCATGGCTTGCTGTCTAGCGGTGAGTACTAAGTCTGATCACTTTGCTGTGAGAAATCTCATTAGAGAGCTGGTGCTGATACAGGCCAAGCAAGAGATATATTAGCTAAAAATAATGCCATATGATCAAAAAGATGCTGGGAGAATATTTTTCCCATGACAATGTTACTGGACTTAGGAACATTCAAAAGCCATGCATCAAACAAGTACAGAAATACTTAGAAAAAGAAATGGCAACAGCTCAAACTATTTGCTTCCAGACCCAAATCAAGATATTGATTTTATGTTTCAATCCCTATATGATTTAGAATCTATGCACTTGCTGGATTGCCTCTCTTCACTACAATCAGCTGAAATCAAAGGGACTGCTCAATGTAAGGTAAATAGACTGGGTGATGTCCTTGGTCATGACCACTTTATGAAATACCTCATCCTTTGAGTTATGGGAAGCCATCTTCTCACTCACATTACCCAAAACATTCTGCTTTGACAGACTTTTGAACAGATCGTGGACCTGGTCTGCAATTGCCACTGTGACATTATTTTACATTTTTTATTTTATTATGATTTTATCTTTTTTCTATGTAATCTGCCTTGATTTCTTTGAAATAAGAGAAAATAGTAACATAGTTAGAAATAAACAACCAACAACCAACCCAAATGTTGAAATATTGACATGGAAAATGTTTTGCTTATATTTAATTTCATCATGAAATAAGGAAAAAGAAGGCTCTCTCTATAGTAGTAGTAGTAGTAGTAGTAGTAGTAGTAGTAGTAGTAGTAGTAGTAGTAGTAGTAGTAGTAGTAGTAGTAGTATCACCAGGCATGGTAATTGAGGTCTGTACTGGTAACCAGGCTCACAACTGATGCTAACTGATGTCCCCAGACCCCAGATCTTTCTTTGCCTGTACCTACCATAAATAAATTCAGAAAAATATGCTAGAAAAAGATCTTGCATTTTCTTACCAGAGTTATTTAGATTCTCCCTTTTTATTGTTAATTGATTTTTTTTTGAATTACAGAATTGTTTTGAAAAGTCATCTCTTCTGAGAACCAAGTTCTCAGTGATTCTTCAGTGCCTATCCTGCAGTCTCTTGTGCAGATCTTAGTGACTAATCTAAGTCTTGTATCTATGATTCACTGGGATTATCTGGTGTTGAGACATTGTAGGTTATTCCCCGTTGGTGTGTTAATACTATAAATTGGTCTTCTGTAGTAGTTTTGGCATCAGTGGCCCCTAAATAACATGTCAGTACTGACCTATGCAGCATGGTGATGGGAAATCATATTTACAAGCATATATTCTTTTGCTTCTGGTATGGATCACAATATTAGATTTTGGGGTCAGAAAATGTTCAGCTCCCCTCTGTCAATCAATCTCACACTCACACTGGCAAAGCAGGAAAAATAGGAGTGGTGATCATGCAGATATTGGTATCTTATTTGATATGACAGATCAAAGCAAGAATAGATGGCAATTTTCTCTAATGGAAAGCCACTGGAATGGAATGCTGAGAGGAAGTTGCTTGTCTAAGAGAACTGTAAGTAGAAAGACACTATATTTCTGTTTTTTCTCTTCTGTTGAGGATCCTTGGAAACAGTGTTCTGCCTGCACTGCAGAATCCTCAGATTTATTAATAGCAGAGCAAAATATCCATGTATGGCAATTTTGTCAATGATAGATCTATTGATGCCATTATTGAACTGGTAGTCTGACTCGGTGAAGAAAATGTAGATGTTTTGTTTTTTTCCACCCTGATGGCAATCATCTTAAAAGGTTATTTCCTCTAGGTTAACTTAAAGAAGAGGGAGTCAAGCTATTCTCCAAAGTGCCTGAAGGCAGGACGAGAAGCAACGGATGGAAACTGATCAAGGAGAGAAGCAACTTAGAACTAAGGACAGTTCTAACTGACAGTTAGAACAATTAACCAATGGAACAACCTGCCTCTAGAAGCGGTGAATGCTCCAACACTGGAAGTTTTTAAGAAGAGACTGGACAGCCATTTGTCTGAAATGGTGTGGGGTTCCTGCCTGAGCAGGGGGTTGGACTCGATGACCTCCAAGGTCTCTTCCATCATCATCATCATCATCATCATCATCATCATCATCATCATCATCATCATATTTCCATATGTGAAATACAGTTTTCTGAACCATTCTCAGTACAGTTAAGTACAAGTATAGATGGCCATTTCTTCATTCCTGTTTTGTATATTTCTGGCATAATGTGATCCTTTTCTATGAAGAAGAAGAAAAGAGACAAAAAGCGACTTTTTTGTTTATATTTCAAAATTAGATCTCAGAGACCAGAGGCCAACATGTGGAAGAAAAGATAATGTCACCACCTGTTAGAACTCCAGGAGTGGTAAGGAATATATTTGTGGACTTCCGGTCCTGCGCGGTAGCGACTGGTTGCGGGCATGCGTACTGCCGCACCCCCATGGCCAACTTT